GTCAGGGGCATGTTGCCGAATGAAATTCACAACCAAGCGAGACAAGTTTGGATGACGATCTGACCCACACGTGCATACAGTACTGCTTCTAGGATTAGCCCCAAAATAGATGACTGCTGGGGCCAGGTCACCTACGGGCTCACCACGAACTTGTTGCTTAAAACTGTGGGGTACAAGGTCCCATGCTTCGTGTAGGTCTGATCTGGAGATCGTAACTTCATCTCTAGCATACTTGCAATTGATGGCATAACAGACCGCTTCTGATTCTGCAAGACGGCTATCAACTGCAAGGGCTCTGGCAAGTGTGTACTTGTGTTCGTCGCTGAGTACAAGCTGTTGTGGTTGTGCATCCCTGGAGTGCAGTTTTCCCGCATTCTCCTGGGATTTGTCGGAATTCCGGCTCATGTTGTGGGGGTGACATGAAAGAGTTTTGAGCCTGGTTGCTGATCAGGATTGCAACTCACTCACATTTGAGTCGTGGTATGAGGAGACATACATGCAGGGGTTGGGCGCAGCGACAAGTGGGGGGATGTTAGATTATAAGCGCACACATGGTGTGGGAGCAGCTTTGACAGCGCTACGCGCACACCGGGCTGCTTCTTGATTTTGCTGGGCGGACCATTGTGACGACTCTGTACAGTTTTAAACTAGGTTCGAATTACAATTTAAAGAACTCACGAGTATCCAAACTTGTGTAAATTACAAATTAGGAAATGCTATCATGATTGACATTGGAGTCAAAAGCACAGGGCTCCCGGCACTCGCACGCAAGCACATAGGGATAGTCCATTCAAGGATACTCATAAACTAGGGCATCATACCACAGGCTTGTGCCAGGTAGGCAAGCGCCTCTCGGGCACGTGCGTCATGATGCAGTGCGCTACTCAGGTGCATTGGAGGCCCAGGCAAGTTTGCAAACAGCGATACCGGCTGTCGCAAGGGAAGGGATTCTTGAATCCTCAGGATCGGCACATCTGGCTGCGTGCCACTTTGCAGCGGGGAGATTGGCGTAGGAGTCGAGCTGGTTGATGCCGAACTCTTCGGTACCGCCGGTGGATCTTGCGAGTCATGTGGTGGAGTTGGTGGTGGAGCCTTCTGCTGTGGCGGTGTCAGTCTGGAGATGATCTTCTCCATCTGCGACTGGACCTTCATCAGTACTTGTTGTATTTTTTCCACTGCACCACTGAGCTCTGCAAGGGAGTCGTCTTGCCCCTTAAGGTGGCCCTGATTGGTCCACACATTCTGGTTCGCCAGGTCAAGGTTTTGCTCAATGCTACGAACTTGTCCATGGTTCGCTGCATTGCTGTGCAAGTACTGCAGGGGCTGGATGATTTCAGCTCGCAGTGATGACAGCATGGACTGAGTCTGCTTTGCCATTGAAACAACCGCTTGGTGTTGACTGGATTCGTTGAGCCTGAAGTCCTTGAAGTTGTTGAGGTGCTCATCCACAAGCTTCACTGCATTCTGTAGATCTTTCTCCAGCGAGTCGAAGCGAGTAGTGTCCGAGACCAAGGTCAACTCAGCCTGCACACCTGTCAGGACAGTGATGATGCTGTCCAGTCGTGCCTGCAGTTCTGCAGTCATCCACGTCTGTAGTGAGCCTTGGCCCATGTCGACTATCTCCTGCATGCTTGTCTTGGTCATCTTGTGGCTCTTGGCGCGAGAGTCGTCGATGCTCGAATTCACTTGCACTGGTAATTGTTGGAGAAGGGTCTCCAATTCAGTCATGCGGCGTGCAACTTGCATAAATTCCTGTTTGATGTCGTCAGCAAAGGTCTTGAAATCGCCCATGGCCCAAGTTTGGAGGTCGCTCGGCATATCAGCAGCTGGTGTTGCCGACTGGGTCGGTTTGAATTCATCCAGCAACTGTCGAACTTGATCGGAGTGTGTCTGAAACTGCTTCTGTAGGTCATCTGCATGTTGCTGGAGCGTCGAGGTCATGTCACTTGTCACAAGTGTAAGACGCGCATCCACCAGCTGGTAGAGGCGTTGATAGAGAGTCCATGCCGAGCCAAGGACTGCCACCAGAACAGACAGAACGAGCGTCATCATACTGAGATCGCTCATCGCATGCATCCACGCAAGGACCATGGCTGTTTTGGGGCTCGGGGTCTTATATGGAGTATGAAGGTCAGCTTGTGTCTCGAGAGGACCAGCTGTTGCAAGCAAGCGCAGCATGAAGAGAAACCACGGCGCAGTTCATCCCATCACTGTCATGAATTATGAACATGTTGTCAAGGGAGACTACAGCGCAGGCAGTCATGTCACAGTCATGGAACATGTTACTGGTCGGTTGAAGCTTTTTGCACAGGTTTTGCAGCCACTGTCGTGAGTACTTGCGCGCATATGATATTATTGCACCTAATTCAGAATTTTCCAGCACATGCAGTTGCAATTAAAGTAATTCAATGAGCAGTCGTTTCAGACTGTCAAATTCTGTGGAATTAACGAGTTGGCTGCAAACCGAGACAAACGTGTATAATGATACAGTCGGTAGAGTGCTTTGTACAATGTCGTCTCTACCAACATAGGAATCTACTCTTCAAGCTGTACTGAAAGTGTTGAGCCGTCGTTCAAAGTCACATAGTGAGCACACAAATCCGGTGTCACTCCGACATCAAGCAGCTCAGGCTCATTTGACACCGGGTCACGCACAGGTGGCGTGTGTGATGCCGACGGTTCATCTCGTGGGTCACGTGTCACAAGCATTTGTAGTTGTTGATGCAGGGGGTCAAAAGTCTCAGGCAGAACTTCACGTAACCTCTTCAAGAGAATCTGTCCTAACCTATGCTCAATTTCACATGGTAGGACATCCACTGTCGTGAGGATCCTATGGTTCTGATTGAGGACCGAGATCACAGCCTTGTGAAGGTCCTGACGGAGCGCCTGAGCACTTCCATACCGCTTTTCACTGCGATCAAGTAGCTGGTGCACCACGTACTTCAGTCTATCCATCGCAGCAATCAGTTGTGCTGTATGGCAGGAGAAAACGCGCTCCTCCTCTTGGAAGATATCCTCCAGGACATCGAACACAGAGTTCACCGAATGCTGAAGCTTTTCTGTCATGGGTTCCAGGTCTTGCATCGCATGAATTAGGTTCTTGACGATCTTCTCGTACTTGTGGAGTTTTTCTTCGACAACCGCTTGAATTCGGAGGATCATAGCTTGCGTGTCTCGCAGTTGTTTCCACAGGCCTTTGTGAGCTTTCTCAACTTCTTGTCGAACACTTTCCGGAAACAAAGTGGGCTCTTGCATCAAAACTGGGATCCCAAGGCCTTGTAAGGTGGCCTGAGTTTGAGCCACTTGCGCATTCACTCTCTTCATCTGCCAAAGGGTGCAAAGTCCACAGGCACAAATGCCTACGAGCATGCCTGCAAAAGAGCCCAACTTCATGTGAATAAAAGGTAAGGAAACACGCTTTTCTTCCTGTTATATCTAGCTCTTTGAACTCATTTCAAATATTTGGAGGTTACATAAACGAGCCACGTGAAAGGATCCTACAAGAGAAAAGTTATGAGAAGCTTCCATGTCATACTGTCATTAGAAGATTCCATTTACAGTTAGATCTAATCCTACAATATAAGTCTCCAGAATGTGTGGTGCGTGAAATGAAGCGAGCAACAAACACGCTCTCATTTCATTCCATTGTTCTGCTTGTCTTCATTCCACCCTCACCACATCTCCAAGAGGGAAAAGATTACAGATAGAAAATAATTGTTTGTAAAGGGTGATGTCGTTCCTATTTTGTCCGTCTTTGTCTTAATCGCGCATACTTTCGTTTCTCACTTCTTGGCATTAACTACGACGAAGTAAACCGAAGACGGACTTCATTATCGTTACTTTGACTTGTGGCGCGGCTGGAAATCTGATGGTAGATCTGTGGTTAGTTTGCTTGGTCACTATTTCGTTCATCACAAAGCCCCGTTTATTTACAGTCAAAGCATGCGTTCACTCGGTTTCCTTATCTTAAACTAAAAATGATTGACTTCTGCGATTGTCTTCATAGTTTTATAATCTAACCGCCAGGAAGCCAACGGAAAGTGAACCTTACTCGTGATGTGATTCGTGCCTGGCTGTGGAGTTGTGGGTGGTGGCGCGGTGATTTTAAATAGAGGAATCATGCTCCGTTCCTTTCGCTTTGCTCTCTACACTTCATTGTTTTATCTTCTTTTCAGTACAGGCAACGCCCACTGATCAAGCTGTTTGACTAATGCCGTATCCATCCAATCAATTAGGGGCTTATTCTACCTGTACATCTGTCGAAAAAGATTTTCAGTTAAGATGTCATGTTGTGGCCCGGACAACTTTAGATTGCGGCAAGGCGCTCATTTCGGGTTTACACGAAGCCAAACACTATGTCACTACATGTTGCAGCGGCATTTCAACCTGCCGAAGCCTTACCTATTCAGTCGACCAAAGGCTGACTCAAACTACACATAAAAGTCCATGGCACATATATATATATATATACATATGCCAAACTTCTGTGGCAGATACCAGGTGTGAATGATCTGAAAATGGAAACTTTGAAGGCTAATCCGAGATAGTCATGTGCCTGAACTGCACACTGGAGTCGCACACAAAGGCCTGCTGAAACTCGAACAGAAACTCATAGTATCAGTGGATTAAAACCCCATGGATGGTATCTCTGGGAACCGTTGTATCATCGTACACCCCGGAACGCAGCTTCCCAACGTTCAAATTTGTATACATTCTGCCCACACGGTTCGTTGCCGTGGCAAGCACCGACTACCTCTATGACGAGGTCCTCGGGGGATTCTCTTAAATCTTGGTATACAAATACATTAATGGTTTTCGTTAAACGAACAAAAATTTTAGGAGCGGAAATGATGCGACTCAATGAATTACAAAGGCTGTTCAAATCATAGCCAAATAGTGCGACATCTCGAAAATCCCCAATGCAAACTGCTTTGGCTTCAGTCTGCAATTTTACCATGTGGTTGCGAAGCGTTCTTAGAACTCTTTACTTCAGAAACTTTTCATGGAATCGGCCGCAGAGCCAGTCCTGGTGGAGCTCCGTACCAGCTACACAAGACAAACCATTCTCCACTCAGATGCAAGCCGGCCTCACTGAAATACGTCTTGTCCAGAGATCTGCAGAATTCTGCAAAAACTTGCCTTGGCATGAACTAACAGAACTAACATTTAGAATTTAGATGTACTTCTCCAAAACGAGTCATGATTTCGAAAACGCCAATGGTGCTGTGCGAAGTCAAGGCACGGAAAGATCTTCGAGGTCAAGAGGTACAAAGGATGTCCGCGAAGGTGATCTGAATTGGTTGCTGCGCATGTTTTTTTCTGCCAAGTGTACCGACAGCCGAGAAAACACAGAGGGAAGATGGCTGAACGGAGAAACCGGAAGGCAGCGGCGGGAGGAGTGAGATTCCAGTTCGCTCATGAGGCCTCCCAGCTGGAACGTGGCCAATTCTGCATGAAGGACAGGTGAAATCAAGGAGGTATCATATCCAATCCTGGGCTGTTTCCCAGCTCCACTTGCGCAAGCAACTATGCTATGCCCTCTCATGCTGGTGCTAACCAACATCCTAGCATCGGGGAGTGACGAGTCATTTTGTAGTCGGCATAGCTCATGATTCGCATCATCAGCCTCGCATAAGGGACTAGAGCTGTGTAGAGCAGACTTCTGCTACAGCAAGGCATGCGCAGCCACATGACTCACATCGCAAGTCCCAGTGGCTCTGTCGAGACTGCTTTGGTCTGGAGGAAGATACGGAGCTCGCGTCGTTTTCCTTGCCAAGCCAATGCAAGCATTAAGCTGACCTAAAACGAATCGCTGCTCAGAGAGCTTGGTCAGTGAGCAGTATCTAAGAAGCTGTGACAAATTCTCATGCATTCACCACGGTGTTCTTAAGCGAATGAAAGCTATCTGAGGCTATCTTTCTCGCATCGGTGAAGGGCTTGACAAGCTGCGGCTGCGCTCGTTGTTGACTTGGCGAATCTCGTGAAGCGTACCAGTCAAGATCGACAGTGCCGATCCGATGACTAGCACCTCAGTCAGGAAGCATAAAGTAAGGGGTTTGTACGGGTCTCACATGGGTAGTGCAGACAATGGGCGGTCAGCACGAAAACCAGCACTGCAACGACGTGCTCCACTCCACTTTCCTTGCGCAGGCAGAGGGACAAGGACAGCAAAATGGATGTAGTGAAATTGAGTAAGACATACCTGACATGTCGCAGCTGGCACACAAGAAACACGTGGCCACTGATGCACAGAAAATGCTGCTCAGCAGCTGGGTCCAGTTGCGGTGGCGCTGGTGGTAAGAGGATCCATCCGATGGCATGCACATACTGGATGCTAGGATCGGAGAGCGCAATCTGTGCTATGTCGATCCTTGGTACCGAGTAATCTTGCAAACCCTCACTAATCATCAGAATACTATGAATGTCCATTTCTCTGCAGCTTGCACCTCGGATATAAGAAACCCACCGGTCAAGCTGGCAGAGCTGGCGCAGGCGGATTAGTGCATCGGAAGTTCCAACTGCCCATCTTCAGATCTTGCGCTTCAGGAACGGCCTGGAGGCCTCGTGCTTCTGATACTGCCTGGGCACACACGAACTCTCAGCTCTTGCAGCTTGTTTGCGCAGCTCTTGCAGATTGCAGCTCTTGCTCTTCATGACCCCGCCTTCCCCACGACGAAGAAGACGCAGGCCAGAACATGCGTGACCCCTCCAATCACCATCAGCATTCGGCCAATTGTGAAGAGCAGTATCAGCCATTGCCTTCCCATCGAAATCACCTGCAGCTTGCCAGAGAGACACGGAAACCGGCACGACGTGTGGGGCATCAACAGAATCAGGTCGAACGCAGCTCAGTTCTTTCAGCTGCAGTGCCAAGTTTTCGATTATGACATTGACCTTACCGGCTTTGAAGATTCGAAGAATTCGGAGAGTTCCTGAGCACCCGTCTTCCAAGTGCACATGCCTACACACGATAATCCGATAAACCCAAAGCTGCAGGGCACACTTCCGGACCCAATGATTTAAAGTGACCTCCGATCAAGCGCAGCATAGCCATGTGTCGCAACAAGCGGAGGTAGCGTGCAGACCGAAGTGGACGCAAGAGGTCGCCCTGCTCCTGTGGACGCGACAAAGCAGCCACGGAACCAAAGGCTGAACTACATCAGGCGCAAAGAACAGCGATGTCCTTGGAGACATTGCCCACAAATCCGGCAGTGTAGTCCACGGCAAGGACGCAAACATCGAAAGCGAACCAAGTCTTCAGGTAATGAAGGCCTCAGATCTAAAATCTGCGAGTTCTTTGCCGAAGCAACCCTTCGCGGCGCAGCAGGAGAAAAGGTTGAGACATCACTGCATGACAGCCCACCTCCAGGAACTGAGGCCCTGACAAATGTCCTGGCCAAGATCAGCGGTGTCATGCCAGGCCATGTAATTAAGCACATGTAAGCCATATGCTCTGTAGGATCAGAGGGCTCACACCCCCCAACAAAAAAGTGCAATTCTTTGATGTCCGCGCTGTACGACTGTACATCGGCCAACTCTCATGAAGTCATGCTTTGTCCGAGGAGCAAGCACGGGGAGCACGAAAGCAAACGTCGAAGAAGACTGAAGAAGCATCGGGCTAGTGCATAGATAATGTCCGAAGCGCCCTCCGGATCCTCGATGCTTGACTGAGTCGCACTGCAGTGGAACGGAGATCGGCTTCGTAAGCGAGCCATTCGGCCCAGCATGCGTGCAATTTTCGATGTGTTGTCAGGCTTCCTACCTGCGAAGTGTGCAGCCTCGCGGCCACATCGAGAGCAATTGCGAAAGAAGCGGTCTCGCCGACCATTTTTTGTACACCCTTTCGATTTGTGGCAGGTAAAGGTCTAGTGGTTGGGTTGCTTCAGGCTGATCCGAGTCCTCAGCCGTTGTACAAGTAATTATGAATACTGTCGACAGCAGCTTGGCACACTAGCCCATTTCCTCCCACGAGCCTTTCGCTTCAGTTGCAAGGCGCCCTTCCTGTAGAAGCCTGTGTTGAACGACATGACCATGTCCTGGGGAACCGCAAGCTGCCACACTTTGATGGCCGAACATGACACTGCGAGGTTCGCTGTGCAGGCAAGTGTCGAGTGGCCAAAAGATCAAGGATGTCATTGCTAAGGCTTGCAAAAGCACCTCACCACCTTTTGCTCCAGCTGCGAATGGCGAGACATCCAGATCAAAGGCCATGGTGAGGGGCAGGAGGAAAGCGTCCAAGATGATGAGTGTCACGCTGGCAAAATCCCAGCCGACCCGAAATTTGGAGTTGGGCGATACCACGATCGAGTCGCATTTGTCAAACTCGCTGTGCAAGCTTTTTGTAGGTGACCTTTGCCTATGCGATCCAAGAGATCCCATCTGTGTTGCCGAGCCGCTTCCAAACTTGTGCTTCGTTCTGCGGCTAACCGTCTCAACTGCCTCGCCAGCCTAACCAGGGAGGAAAGGCCCAAGCATGATGCACATGGGGCATGCTGAAGGCCGACCGCGCACCTTCTGAGATATTTCCATCAGATGGCTATTCAGCCGAAAATGCGGTTGCGACGATGCTCCTTCTTGCAAAGCTGCTGCTGTTTGCTGTAGCACCAGAGCTCCCACCCTGAGATCAAAGGTGGCATTTCTTGAGCTGCTGACTTGCACCAAAACAGGGTTGGCAGACAAGGTTCGACATGGTGCTCTCTTTGGGTCCGGGAGTATCGGACACGGTCATTGTCATCGTAATTCCGGCGTCCTTCAATATCCAGGAGTCCAGCGGAGATACTTCTGCCGCCATCAAAGGACTTGCTGATGGCACCTGTGCACAGAACAAGATCCTTCGAAGGACACGACGCTGAGAAAGCGGCCAGAAGCCTCCACGCTCCCATGGCTTCGCTCGAGATGTCGAACCAGGTCGGACTCGATGGCTTTGTGCGCCAGGCCCACCTGCACACTTCGACGTGTTACTTGTGCCAAGGCCCTGTCTCTGACCTGCTTCCGGATGTCCCCGAAGGCAGTCTGCAGTTCTGCTTCAAGGTTCGAAAAACCTGTCGGCGTTTCGAGACATGAACTGCAAGATGGTCATTCGACCCATCCCGACTGCCAGTGTCTGAGCTCCACACGCTGCGTCAGCGAGGATTGGGTCTCTGCCAGAAGGCTCGGCATACTGCCGAGCTGAGGGTGGGCTCGCACACAATTAAAGTTGAAGAGTCAGGGCTGCTGGATGTCGCCATGAAGTGATTCTTCGGGAAAGTCCATGAGCGTCATCTACGGGTGCGTTTGCTTCTGCTCTCACAAAACATGCTTCAGAGCCTAGCCAGTTCCGACACAGCAGTCTTGCCGACAAGTCGTGCGAGAAGCCGATCGGGTCTGTACACAGTCTTGGGCAGACCTGCGTTCGAAAACTCAACGTGTTACTCCGCGAGCTCTGATCGGTTCGACGAAGGGGTACAAGCCCCCTGTGAAACACGGCTCTGTGGCCGCACACCGTGTCCTCTCAGCCCCCGCAACCTGAAATGCTTGCGGGGTGAGCAGGGTGTAGTATCGAATGTGTGTGTACGCGTCGAGAACTGCTTGAACTGCACCACTGCAGCACCTCTTTAAGGTACCGCTTGGAAAAAGCCCAAGAAATCAAACGTCCAAAGAAACAACTTAGGGAGGCTGGAATCAAACTATATGAAGTATGAGGTCTGAGCTACTTTTACATACTGTAATGGCATGGGCCTTCGACGCACTGCTTCGTAAAATTGACAACTTGCTTTTAATTTGCAGCACGCCCCTGCCCGTAGAGCCAGGCACGGCAGCAACGCAGACCATATCCTTAGATCACCCACATGTGCTTAAGATACTCGCTGGCACGCTGGTCTCTCCAAGCGCACTGCTGCGTTGGTCAGTTAATGGAGTTCCCTGCGTTTGGTGAGCATGCCTACACTCCCCGCTCCCCACCCCTCTCCCAAACAGAATCAGGAAGCAGCGGATCTAACTCAGCGATGGCAATACTTGAGCGGTTTTCAGCAATCAGTCGCGCACCACGTGCGAAGGTACCTCGTGCACCTCATTCATGGCCTCATTCCGGCAGGTCCCCCTGTACTGAGGCCAAGGCGAATGACGGGAGAGAGCGTTCTCCGAACAGCTCACGGACTTAGAACTGGCAGCTCTTCACGGCATGTATGTGCAGCTCATGTCCGGAGGGAGGCTCGCCAGTCTCCTGCGCGCAGCACCCAGCCGGCCTCTACTTGCTCTACGTTCTCCTTACGAAAAGAGACATTGGCCTTAGAGCCTTGGCCAGTAGCTTGCCCCCGCGCCCTTGTGAGCAGTCCTCGCTGTGCCTTTGCTTCTGAACCAGTTCGCGCACGGAGTTTGCCAACATGATGACATCCGTGTGGGATTCTTGTACCTCACATGCAATGTCCGTCAATATTGTTGCTGATGCGCTGATGTTTCTCCGATGCCCGTCACTCTGGGCTTGCGAGGGCTTAATCCTTCGGCTCAAGTCTTACAAGCTTCAACTCTGAGGCTTACCCGGCGCCAGTTCTCCTGCTGCACCTCCAAAGAGAATCGATCATCCTGAGCCCGCAGGACAGGAAGTCTGCAGTTTGCAACCGACAGCATGATGTTTGGGGTTCGCATGACTCGTAACCTCACCGAGGGGCCGCTAAGCGGAGCCTTGCCCTTGACAAGCACGTCTGGAAAATGTAGCCTCGGTCACATTTGATATTAACCGGTGCTGGGCGTTTTGTGAGAGACACTACGACTATGGCACTATTGGCCACCTGTTGCCCTTCTGCTGTCAAAGCCAGGTCAACATCTTGCAGTCGATTGATGTCATTAGATGTCATCAGCATGAATTCGGCAAGTGGCTGTTTTGCACCATCAGGATGAAAGCTGCCAAGTCAGCCAGGTCCACGGCCAGAATCATGCCTGCGAGGTGACTCTTGGCGCGTCCATGTGCATTGCTGCGAATCAGACGGACCTTCCTGGCAACCTCATGTTCGACAATTTGTTAAGTGCACCGAACCCCATGGCAACCTCTCCAACCAGAGACTTGCAATCCAGCTCGGTCGTAAGCAGCTCTCACAGCGCACCTGAGCCTGTGTATGTCGCATGAACTGCGCGCACGAGCTCGACCAGGACCTGGAGCTTGCTCTCAATATCTCTCAATCCATGCAAGAAGGGTCAAAAACGAGACAACTTTCGGCAAGCCACAAGGATGGAAGGGTTGAAAACAGGCAACCGATTCTAGAGGCACACAGGTCCACGGATAATGTTTGAAATGAATCCTTCAACACTCACATAACCCCTACACGCTACCCGCAGAATTCTTCGCAAGCCGCCAAGCACCTTCTCACAAGCCTAACTCCCAACCACTTCTGCCCGATGCACATGGTCTGACTGCCTTCGGAAGTCCCCCACATCGTCTGCGACATTGCAAACGATACGTTGCAACTTGATACAGAAATGTTTTTGGCCTTGGTTTGCTTCCGTGTAGGATAACCATTTGGAACAAGTTGATCGAGTAATTCCGATCAAGAGCGGCTTATACGAGTACCTGCTGCTCCCCGTTGCCCTCTGCGTGTGTGTTCTTGATCTCTGCCCTTCCTGATTCCTAAGAGTGACCGGTAATCGCACCCAGTTGCCTTCAGGAGGGCAGGGATCGTCACGAAGGCCTTGGCTTCGACAATTGCTCGAATGCTTTGCACTCAAGCGTAATGGACCTAGGCTCGTGTGGGCACTGAGCGCATGGCGTTCGCCTTTGCACGCTCCAAGCACAGCGGAAGGAACCTTTGCCAGGGCGAGTGGAGTTCATCTTTTCGGAGCCTTCATCTGCAGGCTTGTTCACTAAGAGACTCTTTTTGAAAGCAATCGATCGGTAATATGGGACACAAGTTAAAGCTTAGCGGTGCAGACCTACTTCGCACCAGGTTCACTCGCATGCAACAGGAGATAGAGATGACTCAGGGCCGCGTATGCAAAGTAGCATGATGTTGTACTGCGATGTTGCATATGTTGCGTTGTTGGGCGGAGAGGCTCGAAGACCACGGCCCGATTCTCGATCCCGTCTGCCAGGAAGTGTTGCAGCAGCACCCTCTGCTCCGAGCGTTCCAGACCACTCCAGGATTTCTGGAGCTCGTCGAGGTCCTGGCATGCGTTGCTCTTGGCTCGTGAGCTTTGGAGGTCACTTCTGCAGCTTCAAGCTCTCAAACCCAGCACATCCTTCGCAGATTGAGCTCGGCATAAGCCTCAGTGCCACAAAACATGCGGGAGAAGTTCAGCCTGCGAAACGTGACGGCGAAGACAGGTGGTGCCCATTTGTGCTTATCACACTTACTAGTAGCTGTATCCATCTGCAGTCTGCAGTTGGGTCCCCGCCATTGACGAGAGCAACCCTGCAATCACCTGCTAAGCGTTCGCCTCAAATACAGATAGGCCACATGCAAACCGCACCACTGCCAAGTCTGCAGTATTGCGAGGCATCCGACCCAATTGAACTCCACGGTTGTGGAGGAAGGTCCAGTACAGTTTCGTGGGGTCCTGGCACACGTCTAGGTCTAGGCCGTTATGGAACCACGATGCGCAAGACTTCGCCCAATGGCTTTTGAGAATCAGTGCGAGTGACATTCCAAAGTCCCTTGTCGTTGTGCGTCCTTCTCCAGGACCCTCTTGATGACTGAAAGCCCAGGGATCGTTGCGTTCGCGTTCGTCCGCGTCATGAAGCGGGAGCCCTGCCCACCGGCCAAGCCGGACATGAACCCCAGCAGAAAGAGTACCTCACTGCACTGTAGCAGCACGGTGATGGCTAGAACTTGCAGAAACTGCGTGGATCCATGACTTCTCGCGTCGATTTTCTGCACGACTTTGACTCAGCACGTTGAACTTCAGCGCTGGGCAACTGCATGCCATGCGGTCATGTGATCGAATTTTATGTGCCAACAGGAGGCATAAAATTGCAGACCTTCTTCACCTTAGTAATGACCCACAGCGGGAAGGAAGCTCTCCCGTGCAGTCCATGCTACACCTGACTTTGACACGCCACTGCCGGAGTCTCGAATGAAGTCCTTGAGCTGAAGAAGGTTGGCGGGCACCTGAAAGCGTAATATGTTGCCACGGCAGTCATGCTGGACGCCACGGCATGTATCCAATGGTTGATTTCGCGAGTTTTTCTGCGCAACCAGCAGCAGTATGAAGAAGATCCCTGCCGTAGCCAGCATATGCAGATTAGGCACATTCTCACCCTGAAGCATTTGTGCAAAGTTGAAGCAGACTTGCAGGTCCAGCGTCTGAGTCCTGAACTTCGACATAGAATGCCCCAGAATGCCCGTGAGCAGTCCGTGGTAAATGAGTTTGGTTGGCACAAATGGGAAAATACTGCTGATTCTCTCGCCCAGGTTCACATAGGTCCGTATCTCCGCTGACAGAGTGACCCCCGATGGCGTTGCATCAGGATATGCCGCCTGTCAGGACCGCGATTGCCACGCTGGACATGCAATCTGATGCTTTGTCTGCCAGGGAGCCAAAATGTAGCGCACAGCTTGCTCCGGGCGCTGATGTTTCGCGGGCAGCTGGCGAACGATTGGCCTGTCACATGCAGATGGAGCACCGACCGCGGAAGTGCAATGCACTCTGCAAGTCTATATCAGGCACGTCAACGAGTCAAGCCTGTATTTGCCCACAGGGCGTACCGCCAGCAGCCAGATTACGGCCAGCAAGCTCCTTAGATTGATACATTACAGCGGAATGGACTGGTGCTGACAAGGGCCGGAAGGCTAAATTCAGTTCAAGAAGCTGCTTCTGAGGAGCTGCCCATGACAGGACGCCTTGAAGCTGTTGCCACTGCGATGTGGTCAAGCGAACTTGCGCCTTCTGTGGTGCCACGAAAGCCTGGACATTCCACAACTTCACATGCCCAAGCTGGCCAGGTCCGGACCGATGCGGGCGCATGACCATGAGTCTGTCTGTACCGATGCGCGAATCCCATTTCCAAATTGTAATTACTCTGCACACGTCATCGGCAGAGCGAAGACTGTTGCTGGTCTGTCTGTCTGTCTGCTCCCTCTCTCCACAGCTGAGGCCTCGTAATCGTTGCGCACCAGGGCCAGAAGGCTCAAGATCGAGGACTCCACTCTTTCCTGCTCCTTCATCTCTCCAAACCTTCGACAAAGCAACAC